TTGTGATTTGTCGGGTTTGTTAGGAATGATCCTTTTTATTTTGAAATATTGTATAAGCCTTTGTTTCGCATTGTATATGAAATAGTGTATTGGAAGAGCTTGAAAGTATTTTCAATGCATTTCTCCTCTATATGTAAATATTCGGGGCTGCAAATTCGGCGTGCTCTTAAGTAAAATTCAATAATTATTACAGGTTTTATTTTATTAAGATGAGAATATTTTTTTTATTAATTGGTTTTCGGTTGACACTAAGTTTTAAGCTACAGTTAACGCGGTGTAGCAGGAAGAAAAATATTGTTTGTTCCCATTTTATATGTGAATTCCATTTTATGTTCGATTCTGTTTAGTTTATCTACAAGAACAGGTAAGATTTTTATTATTGGCAGAAAGAGATTTATTCTTCGTCGTATTTTTTAAAGAGCATTGCAGAGACAGGAATAATTTTAAAAGCTCATGTTAGATATTTGCAAGTGCGTGTAAAGAAGTTTGACACGAAGTATCTTTGTGTAGAAGGGTATATTATCATCCGTTTTATTATCATTGGTTTCTGTCCAGTCGGCTTTCCATTGCAATATAATATAGAGACATATATAAACAGACTCAGATAGATAGATATAAATGAAGTTAGATGAAAACAGTCTCAGGGAGATAGATATGAATAAAGGTAGATATAAACAGACTCAGACAGATAGATATAAATATAAATAGATATGAACGGATTCAGATAGATAGATATGAATAAAGGTAGATATAAACAGTCGCAAACAGATAGGTATGAATAAATGTAGATATAAACAGACTCAGATAGATATGAATGAAGATAGATATAAACAGACTCAGACAGACGGATATGAATAAAGATAGATATAAACAGACTCAGACAGATATGAATAGATGTAGATATAAACAGTCTCAGACAGATATGGATAAAGGTAAATATAAACAGTCTCAGATAGATAGATAGATAGATAGATAGATGCGAGCAAGTGACATAGATGAACAGACTGAGAGAGATCAGTGCTTTTATTACAAGTTATCATGTTAGTTCATTGAACGTTAAAAATGTCATTTCTTGCTGGCAAAAAAAAATCTGCCCGTGTATTTACTGACTTCCCGGCGACGAGAATATGATTGCGATGCATCGATTTTTCAAGTAGGATAGTCAGCGTTTGAAATCCGAGTTTTGTCATTGACTCTAACATCGACTCCTAAGCACCGGAAGTAAGCAAGCAAACTCCACCAGCGCCAAACAATCTGATGGATCCGCTTGTTATTATTAAACTAGAGATTCGTTTGAACATGCTGTGAATGTTCTCCATCACATCCACGCCATCAGGTGCAGACAACGAACTCGCGGGCTTTTTTCCCTCCTACGTCTTTATTACCGACGGCGCCTATCATATTTAGATCATTTTAGCGTAAAAGGCTTTTCGCTCTAAGTAACACTGACGTACACAAAGTTTGGTTTTCTTTGCTCCATTTGACATAAAGGATCCTCGACGCGCATTTCCTCTTCCTACGCCGCCTTCTTACTTTCACTTTGCTTATTGACAAGCCTATCGCGAAACAAATGAGTCCATGCTCATCGTGCAATCGTAAATATTTTGGCTAATCCATTCTACAGACATCTTCCAGCAGATTCATTTTTCCCGTTGGAACAGTCTACCCCAGTGAGCGAAATAAAGGGTTCAGTTCGATATTCCAACTACCTGAAGAAGGCCGGAGCGCACAACGGACGAAACGTTGTAATAAATATGGCGACAAAGATGAGGACAGTAGTCCGAATAATATAAATAGTGTACATAATAGCTTATCTCAGAAATATAGACAGATACTGAAATTCTTATTGTTCTGCTATTTCATCACGAAATCCGTTAATCTGGATTGATGTCTATAGACGCTGAAAAAAAGAAAAAAATGACTGCTATTGTTGTACACCCCATTGTTGTTCTCTTGGATGACGGCGTCTATGTTGACGTTGCCTTCTATCCCTGCCGGCTGTTGAAATGGTTTGGGTAGGGAAATGTTGTTTTTTTTTTTTGCAGAGATGAAAAGACATCAACAAAAGAGATTTTAAACTTATCTAATTTGCCAGTCGAGTTACTATCTCACCCCCACTGGGAAGCAAGTTCCCAAACACGAAGTGACACGTCTAGATTCTTTGAAATTCCTTTCTATCCCTAGCATTCCCGCGCTAGTTTTAGCCAAACAAAAATGACTTCCTTTATTTTCCTGCATCTGACCTCAGAGGTCAAAATGAGGAAGTCGGATCAAAAATACAATTATCTAAAAAATAATAGTATACTAAACTATTATTTAACAATATGAACTTTGATTTCTTTAATTCGAATGCAATATTCATACAGTTTTTTGGAGGAGGGGGAATGTATGACAAAGTTAAAAATTTTCGTGCGACGCGTTTCGTTTATTAGGACTTCATCGGACTAAAGCTGTTTATATATTTAGTATATTTAGTCCGACGAAGTCTTTTGATATATAAATATTTATTTATCTCATATAGTTATTTTAAAATAAAGGAAATTCAAGATAAATAATCCTTAGGTCTGCTGAGATAGAAATCAGTTAGTTATGTACCAGGTATGATACACGCAGAGTCGATCATCTATCTTTTCATACATGATTGACGAAGCACATTATGTTGCCAGTTCTTTGTACGGTAGACCAATTGCCATCCAAGGTTACAGAACTCGGCCTGTCCTGCTATTTACCCATAGCTAGGGGGAGAAGAAGAGGAACCTTTCCAAGGTTATTATCACGTAAGGGAATGTAATGAATTCAACTGGAATTCGAACTCAGCTCTCCGACTCCTCAATCCGAGCCGCTATCCATAACTCCACCGTGCCTCCTCAGATAGAAATAATAAAGTAAAAATAGTTTCCCTCTAAGTTTTCTCGGAATCTGCTGATAAATTCATTTTGGTTCAATTCAGTTCACATTCAGATCAAATGAAATCGATAATGGTTTCATTAACTACTGAAAGGACCAAAAATGTTCATAACATATTAAGACAGGAAATGCTATCCTAAAAATATCCAACCATTCTTTTAAAATATAGACTTCAATATCTTCAACATACTTTTCTTATAGAAGATACAGCTGTCGATATGCCTAACGTTTTTTATGCAATACTTGTTATCGCTATAGCTATATTATGCAATCTGGTTTTCTTTCTTTCGTAATATATATATATATATATATATATATATATATATATATATATATATATATATATATATATAAATATAAAGTACAAAATGTATTTATTCCTTCGTATAATCATAACTATTCGCCTGGATGTTCTAATTCCTCTTTAACTATTTTTATAATTTTAATCTTTTTCACCGCGTTATTAATTATATATTTAGAGGATTACGTTTTTAAGCCAAAATCTATTGCGCGTTTTACTGCGCATGCGTATTCAAGTAGAATTCTGTATCGTAATAAATCTATATTAGTTTTCATCTATATCAAAATCTCAGTTGGTAAATATATAGGATATAATGTTTGATACATTTAAGATATAAAGAGGATGTCTAGTTTTCTTATCGTCTCAATATCTGTTAGGTTGATGTAAAGTTTCTCGGTGCTATATTTTACACAAAGTTAGGAAAGAAGCGACTTATCTTATTTTCTTTTGCATTTAATCAGCTATCGTGCTTTTATACAAACATCAGAAAATTTACAAATTCGGAACGTTTCCTCACATACGCTTAAAATAATGTCGGTCAGCGTGTAAACATTTGTCCTTTTCTTCTAAATCAGGGAAGTTGTCATTTCCGAACAAGGAAAACTAAAAAAAAAAAAAATATTGGGAAGATATCAAAAGGAGGCCAGAAGAAAAGACTAACTATAAATTATAAGAATACATTATATATTAGGATTCAGAAAAAGAAGTAACCAAAGTAGAGAGTTTCGAATCGAAGAAATCAGAACCAAGCAGTTACAGTAGATTTACGATCGTTTTAATGTAATGAAACACAACGGAATGTATGACACATAGATCCGAAGGTGCATTATGATAGAAAAAAATGACCTTCCCGAAATTAAGAAAATTATTAAGAAAAGGAAAAATTTCGTTAGTGTAATGAACAGACTCAATAAGGAAATTCGAGGCAGAACATATCTGAACACGATTTATTCGGTTGGTTGATTTTGTTTAGCTGCATATCAACACCTCTGTGGGTTATTTAATGTCGAAATCTAAATATTTTGAGCACAGTTTTATGGCTTCAGTAAAATATATTTTGAACGCAATTGTATGCCTTCATCTAGAGATAAAATATATTGTTGGTAATTCTACTATAGAATTTAGTGCATGTAATTTTACTTTAAAAATGTTTTTTTGGTAAATTTACTGTAAATAGGTTTTGTTGATAAATAAAATAGTTTTTGTTGATAAATATAACATATCAGCAATACATTTTTTTATATAAAAATATTTAGATAAAAAAAAGTATTGCTGATATTTTTACTAGAAAAATGTATTTTTATACTTTCATGGTGTTTTGTTTTTGTTTGGCGTGGGGCTTCACTACTTGCCCATAGGTTCTACCATCTTGTTCAGGGTGGATCTCGGAACAATAGTACTTAAGAGGTTGTTCCACGCTCCTCAAAACCTCCAATAACCTGATCAGAGGATGTAGTTTATCATCATACCCAAGTCAACGGTTTATTTTGCAAGTCAAGCATTTACAAAGAAAATATAAATTTTCTATTCGTTCTAATAACGTTTCGTCAGCATTACTGTTACTGATACTAATAGGAGTGAACTATTTACACCACCCGCCTTTAGTTTTTTGGGTACCAGCACACGCAAATCCCCCACTTCAGGCTGGATTGTTGATCCTGAGAATTCATCTGAAGCGAGAGTAAGTCCTGGATTACTTGAGCTGAAAGGAGCCTTCGAAATATTTAGTGGATCACTCGTCAGGTTGTTTGAAGACTGGGAGCAAGTGGAGCCTGTCGACTTGCTGAGGCCACTTTGAACATTGAATGTACAATATGACAGGCAAAGTTATTTCCTCGCTTCGCCATCCGATGTATGAATCAAAAAGTACTATATGCCGTGTTCTATCAGGACGTAGTCGATCAATTTTCTTTGTAGCCCTTTAATTTTGTTCCATCTTGTTATCTCTTCTAAATCTAGATGCAACATGCATTTACTCAGGCTCTCTATGTTAATTATGCATTGTATTCTTCTATCTCTCTAGCCTTCAGTCTTTCCTGTAAGTATCAAAGTTTCCAAATTTTCTTTCCTCGTTATCTACCCTAGAAATGTCAACTCTTTCCTTATTATGAGTATAAATTAACTTTTTTTTAAATTTCGTATTTTCTCACATGTTCAATACATAGTGTTCTCAGTGTCCTTCTGTAGAACAACATTTCTCTTGCTTCAAGTCTCTTCTTCATCTGTGGATATTGTCCAACCCACGCTGCCATATAGGAAGACTGGTATTCCATAACAGTTCAGTACACTTTTCTTTATTTCTAACGATTTTTTCAGTTTCTTAATACTTTGCTTTGCTTTTGGAAGGCATCTTTCGCTATCCCAATGCACATTCGGATTTCAGTGTTGCACTTCCGGTCTTATACTTGTAAGGGGTTCTTGTGGTTACCTTTCTGTGTCTGTTATCAATACTGTGTCATCTGCATCCGTATGCAGGCGCTTTGCTGCCAGTATAGACTCTAGATTATTCTAATATGCTTCACAAATATGAGAAAATTACTTAGAAAACGCTTTTGCATAATCTATAAAACACAGGTACACATCTGTTCATCATGAGGTTCTCGACAAAATCCAAAGTCAGATATGCTCCATCCTGAATTAGCATCTCGACTCCAGTCACTTTCACAGAGACGTGATGTGGCTTCCCTCTGTCTTTTCTATAAATATTTTCATGGTAACTGCTCTGACGAACTGTTTTCACTGGTGGCCCGACTGCATTAATTTAAGCGTGCTACTAGTTTGGCATCTCAGCCCCACCCTTTTACTATCGAAACAGTTAAATATAGCCACTTATTCTACGTCACTATCTTCTTTTCTCACGCTTCCCGACAGTGGAACTCCCCTCCTCTTAATTGCTTCCCTGATAACTATAATCTTCAAAAATTTAAATGTAATGTCAAGAGACATCTTCTGACGCCTTGATACCTGTTCTTCTTTTTTATTCTTTCATTTAATCTCCCCCTATACGCAGTCTTTTCTCTTACTTTCACTCTTTGTAACACCTTGCGTATTACTGGCATCCCCGCCTTGCTTGGTGTGAAATACTTATAAATAAAAATAATCTGTATATCATTCTGAGTATAAACATTGTATACCTTGTTCCAGTGTCTTTAACGAACCTACACTTGTCCTATTTCCGGTCTGATTCTGATGAGTTGTCTATTCATCAGAATTCGGATAACTTTTGTTATATAGTTCATTTGGCTGATAGATGAAGTTTACGTTTGCTTGCAACTGGCTTCTTATGCAGTGCCATGAAATAAATGAGAACATATAACCGTGGCGATATACTGGAAGCCCTATGTAGATCTATATCTACATAGGTCTTCCAGTATATCGCCTCGGTTATATGTTCTCATTTATTATGCCTGTAATCTTGTCAATGCCGAAATTATCTGAGGCTGCCAGCATCTCTATTACGATTCCGTCTGGTTCTGTTGCTTTGTTTCTGAACAATTGCTGATTCCACTTCAGATTTTTATATTTCTGGTCCTTCGATATTTTTGTATATTGTCGCTTATTCGTGGAAGAGTTCCTCGAATGTATTCGTTCAATCTCTGAACTATTTTTCTTTCTCTAATATCAATGTCATCTCTTTGCATTTTATGCATCCTGTTGATGAATATGACTTTTGTCCTGTTAGTTCTCTTATTTTTTATGCATATCTGCTTTAACTGTGATTCTTTTTATTTCTGAACCTATTACATTCACTTACATGCTAATATCCTTGGGAAAGGTGTGAATCCTCTTCTTCTCCCCCCAATTATGGGTAAATAGCAGGACAGACTGGGTTCTATAGCCTTGGATGGCAACTGGTCTAGGAGAACTGGTCTGAATTCAAAACCTGCGTGGGGTCGTTTGGGAACCTTATGGCACGTAGTTCACCAGGTCCCTGTAATCGGCCCTTCAAAAAGTGTGGATGATCCTGAACGAAACCTTCACCACTATAATCAAATCTCATGTACTATACATGCGGGTTGGGGACCGCTTGTGAATTCCAAATTCCCATGAAACTCCAATATTGGAGCCGGCTCAACCCACCTCGGGTGAATGACGTTACAGGTACAGGTAGGGGGGTGAACCTATTTCGTTGAGTCATTCATCTTTAGCCTGCTTTTATTTGATCTCGATTACTGATGCTACTAAAGCCTTTAAAAATATATATGTCAATATATTTCTCCTTCACATTAGGGTCATTCAGGAGTTTGTCGTATTCTAATTTGGGTGTTGAATTAGCACTTTTCTTTCTCCGTCGTTTCACTAGACTGAAAAGCAACGCATATAATTATTTTGATATACAAAATTCCGTTTGTTGGAATAAAAAACGAGGAAAAATTGATTTTTAAACTTGCATAATTTTATCAGAAATGAAGAAAAGACCCGAAGCGGCACATGTAATTTTGTCCAACAATGTTGAGACTAGCCTGGATAAATTATGTGTTTCTAGGAGAATAAGAAAAAATAATGAAATCGATAATGGCTTAATTAACTGCTGAAAGAATCAAAAATGTTCATAATATATTAAGGCCCAAAATGCAATCCAAAATTATCTAAACATTCTTTTAAATTATAGACTTCTAAATATTCAACATACTTTTCTTATTGAAGATACAACTTTCGATATCCTTAACTCATTTTTATATCGTAATTGTTATCGCTATATTATGCAATCTGGTTTTCATGAAAGATAGTTTAAAGAATGCAACACTCGCTGGACACATCAAAAGCAAAAGAATAAGAGAAAACCTATTTGACAATATTCTAAACAAAACGCAACATGGGTGTTAAAAGAATACATTATTGCTGATAAGAAAAAAAGACAAGATGTGAAGAATCAATTTGATTTACTTCCCAAAAGGAGAGATGGGATTGAGATTTTTTTTTTACAGTAAAGTTCACCCTGTACAAGGACCAGGGGCCAACGATGTAGAGTGTTAAGTGAAGGGATAGTTTATATGGATAGGAGGGGAAGATAACTGTTGACTCTAGACTTGAACAGGTTAAGATTGTAGTGATCAAGGAAAAAATCATCTTGGGAGATTGTTCCATATGGCAGTGGTTCACGCGAAAGAAACTGTTTAAGCAGAACTTCTCGACGGAGGGAAGGACAGTAGTTTTTTTTTACTATGTAAGTGCCATGACGGGTCCTGGCCGTGACGGTCAAAGGAGGTTACTTGAAGCTTTCGAGCACTTTCCATGATAGTAGCGGTAGAGCAGTGAGAGACTCGCCACATCCCACTTGTGAGAGAGAGAGAGAGGTTGGCAGGTGGAAATATAATTCTTCTCCAAGAACTCGGAGACGCTTTTGATCTCTATCAAGACTGAAAAGTGAGGTCTGAGCAGCTCCTTTCCAAATATAGCAGAAGTACTCCATTTTCAACCTGATCTGTCTCTTATAATGATAGAAAGATAACACGTGGAGTCAGGTATTCTCTGCAGTGGTAGAGGGAAACCGATCATTTTACCTGCATTTTTAAAGAATTTGTCTTCATTCATTGAGAAAACGGCGATTCCTTGGATTATTATTATTTATTTCAGTAACTTAAATAAGAAATAGTGATTAAAAAATATCCTGCCTTCTCTTCAATGAAAATAATTTGAAAATTGCCTGTCTTGAAAGACAGGCGAACAATAAAAAATAATTCTCGTAACATAATTCAAAAGTTTTTTATTTCTGTTTTTATTTTAATATTTGAGAATGCACCTGCAGAAAGATTAAGAAAATATCCTCTCCAGTAAATCAACTGAAAAAAAAACAACGAAGATAGAAAAACGAAAAGCGAAAATAAAATCAAACAAGATGAACACAAAATTAACAGTTGGCTTGATTGTTTTATTTGAACAATAGTAGTTTCTGATTGCAGGGAGAAATCATATTATGCTCTGTGTGAATACAACTTTCTGAATGCAGAAAAAGATGGCGATCAGGCAAAACATCTCGTTTTGAAGATGTACGTAATAACTTCCACGTGATAATGCAAGCAGTGCTGTTTTTCAAACAAAAACATATTATTGATGCCCAATAATAGCTGATGGTCGTTATTAACGCATTCGTATTTCTGCAATCTGATGAGAAAAGCTCGATTCTGATTCAACTGCTAATGATATGTATAGGCATAATACGAGAATGTATGATAATGTATATTATATTTCATATACTACCATGTATAATGTATATTATAATGTATATTATATTTCCTATACTGTGATGTATAATGTATATTCTGCCATATATTTCTCTGAAATATTTTGCTTACATCTTCGTGTAGAGAGGTCTCATGCATCAATTTTGATAATAAAGAAAAACGTAGAAGTAGAGACTTATGAAAAGTCCGCCATATTAAGGATCTGCTCCATTTTTTCCGTTAATGCCGTTCCTATTAAAATACAAAAGCGTAATAAATAAAGATATGCGAAAACGAGATCGTAATTCATAATAATTTACTTCCTGAAAACTGAACAATCTCCACACAGATGAAGAACAGACTTAAGGCGACAGATATGAGGTTCTACAGAAGGATACTGGAAATGCCATGACCTGAACATGCGAATAACGACGAAGTCTTAAAGAAAATGGAAACAAATGTATACTTAAATAATTTTTAGGGCACATAAATAAGAAAGAGGGTTTGGAAAATTTACCACTGACATGATACATTGAGAGGAAGAGAGACAGAGGAAAACTTCAAGTAACCTACCTGTCGCGGGTCGGTAAATAGACAGCAGAACAGGTATTGGAAAGGAATATCAAAA